TCTTCCAAAATTTAAACTCATTTGCTAAGAAACTGTGTGACTTGGCACAAACCATTTAAAATTTATATGGGAATTCCTATGGGCAAACAAACTTTTTGTTCATTGTCTTCTAGCCTTTTTCTTTATTGCTAAATAGTTCTATCACAGACAAACAGACATAAAACTCACAAGTTGTTCATCGAAAAAGCATTTAACGGTCAATTTAAAAGTAGTTGGTAGTTGGTAGTACCACCAACAATCAATACGAAACTAACGATTTTAAATTGGCTTACTACTTGACTAGCCTATTGGTCCCAAGCAAATCGATTAAGGTACCCCATTCTAGTCAAAATTCTAGTACTACACAATGTTTGTTTTGATTCGATATGAATGTTTGACAGATAAAATGAGAGGTTATTGGATTATCCTATGTTTCGAGGGGTGAATCGATTAGCTTGGGACCGAAGATAGTACCAGAGCTGAGCCAAAAAGTTGAGCATGTTTCTTCGGGACCTACTAGTCTTAGAGTTACCTCTATGGTACCACCACCTGTGGCGCGCATAGTAAATTCCCTTGCGTTTGTCGTTTACACACTACCGCCATCTGTTCAGCGTACTACCCACCACAGTGTACTCAACAGATGGCGATAATGCTTAAGCAACGATGTTTTACAGTGAGAAATATTCAATGTGTTATGTCTGTTTGTCTGTGGTTCTATATCCACTCTTATGAGACATTTTCTCTGATACAACTTTGTACAACTAGCGGCGCCGGTGGTGTAGTGGTAAGCGTGATTACCTCTCACCCCAGCAGGCCTGGATTCAATCCCAGTCGGCGCCGCCGGAATGTTCTGAGGCATAACATCTCTGATCACTGGCGTCGGTAGCATTGGTGCTCAGCACGGAAAACAAGATAGATGGAAAACAAATCAAGGAAAAAAAAAACTTTAGTCATGATTTTTGTGATGACGCAATGTTGCCTACTGAACAGTCAATTGAGCCTAATCATAGGACATCAGTGACTTGCATCATTGATAACTTTTGTTCATTTCATTTGATCGATACGTGGTCTTGTAAAAAGTTGTAGCTGATAAAATTATCAAAAACACAGTTATCACGTTTTAAAGTGGAGTAAAATGATGAATATTGAGATAGATTTGAACAAAATAATTGGTTTTCCCATAGGAACTTCATATAGTTTATGCCAAATCAATTTCTTACTAAATGAGTTCAAATATTAGGAGACTAATCAGAACTCAATTAGGAACCGTTTGAGTACTGTGGAGCGAAAACTTCAAATTTTGCATCAGTCTAATGAGTACCTATACATCAGGGGAAACATGTCAGAAGGGTATAACTTCAAATGTAAACAATGACTTTGATCGTCGATTTCTCTTGAATGACCACACACCCACGGAATCTGACTACATCAGCTCGTAGAACAAACATTTCTCTGTCAGATGATTTAGAGTTAGTTTGAGTGGGTGTGTTGTCATTCGTAAGAAACCGACGATCCAAGTCATTGTTTACGTTTCGAGTTAGACCCTTCTGACATATTTCCCCTGACATGATCTTTCCATGGGGGAGGACGGCTTTAATGTGATTGTCTATTTAGCTTAGAGTTACTCAGAGTAAAGGCCGGCGCACAATGCAAACGTTTTCGGGTTTTTTGACAGATAATGCATGGGATAACTGTTAAAAAACCTGAAAACGTATCCATTGTGCGCCGGCCTTAACTCTGATTTGCTATGATCTGCATCGGAAAAAATAAAGAACAAGGCAAATCTCGCGTAACATTTGAAAAGGGCCTATAATCAAAATGTAAACAAATCTATTTTTGATACTATTCTATAGTCCCGCTTGATAGCTATCAATCGTGTAGGAATGTTCCGCATAACCGGTAAAAATCATAATAAATAACTCGATTTTCAAAACGGCCGGTCGAAGAAAATTTTCGAATCATTTATAGATGCTAACAAAAAAAACTTAGATTAGAAGTAGGCAGATTATTTACAACCATTATCGCATCAGTATCACACAAACGTTAATGCAAAGTTCCACAACCATTTCAGTTAAAATTAAGCAGGGATTATAAACAATTTTTAATTATTTTCGGTAAGGTCAAGTTATGGTTCACGTTTATGCGGGTGCAGCTGCAACCTGAGTGTGACTCCCATGATGAAGGAACATTATTCTGTATCCCGATGTTTGATTCGGATTTTAGTATTCAAGACAGTTAAAATCAACAACAGTGCAATGTAAGTCTTATGCTTTGCAAACGACTTGAAGATTTCAAAAAGTCTTGAACGAACCTTTAACCCGAATTGTTGTAAACCATCCTTTCGGTTTTAGAGTACGGCAGTTTTTGCTTCCAATCCGCAGCAAAAACACACATCCTTAAGCTGCAACGGATTCAATACCGTTGCCTTCGTATTGCTCTAGGCTGTATGCACTCGACTCATACGATGAGCCTCGAAGTACTCGCGGTTGTTCTCCCACTGACAGATCGTTTCGCTGAGCTGTCTTTCTGGTTTCTCATCTGTTGTGAAGTAATGAATCCTTTGGTAATAGAAAACTTTGATAAGCTGCTCGACAGAAATCCTCAAACAAGATTCATGAGTTTGTACTATGAGTACATGACGCTGGAGGTTGGTGCTTCTTCATTAATCTCCAATCGTGATTGCTTTCAAGCCTTCTATAGTTCCTCTGTAAATTTTGATCTGACCATGATGCAAGAAATCCATGGAATACCAGATCACCATCGGTCGATGGTTGTTCCCTCAATGTTTGCAATCAAGTACCACCATGTAAGTAACGATAAAAGATTTTTCACAGATGGGTCAACCATAAATGCTTCCACTGGATTTGTTGTATTTAATCAATTTCATAGCGCCTCCTATAAACTGCAGAAACCATGCTCCGTATACGTTGCGGAACTTGCAGCTATATTTTACACAGTAGAGCGAATTGCCTCACTACCTTCTGACCATTATTTCATTTTTACGGATAGTCTTAGCTCATTGGAGGCTATTCATTCAATGAGGCCGATGAAGCACTCCTCGTATTTCCTGCCTGAAATACGATCTAAACTGAGTGCTTTATCTAACTGCTCCTATACTATTACCTTAGCTTGGGTCCCATCTCATTGCTCAATTCCGGGTAATGAGAAAGCGGACTCGTTGGCTAAGGTGGGCGCTATGGAAGGCGATATTTTTGAGCGACAAATTGCCTTCAACGAATTTTTCACCATTGGTCGTCAGCAAGTCCTCATCAGTTGGCAACAAAAATGGAATGATGGTGATTTGGGAAGATGGTTACATTCTATTCTCCCATAGGTGTCGAACAAACCGTGGCTCGAAGGGTTGGACATGAGCCACGACTTTATACGCGTTATATCAAGGCTTATGTCCAATCACTGCTCGTTAGACTCGCACTTCTATCGAATTGGGCTCTCAGGCAGCAATTTATGTGCGTGTGGAACGTGGTCATCACGATATCGAGCATGTTGTTTGGTCATGTACCTTACACCGTGTTGTCAGATCTGAGTTATCCACATCCCTCAGGGCCCGAGGAAAACAACCCGCGATACCCGTTAGAGATGTCTTGGCGAGCCGAGATCTCGGACATATTTGAATTTAATTTATGTGTTTTTAAAACGGATAGATCTGAGGATTTAGTAGTTAGTGTCATATTGTGTTCTCCCAAGTTGTTAGCTGCCCATCGGTGTACCCCCATGTTTGTCTTTTTCATCAGAGTGTCGCTTAGTTCGAGATCAAGAGCACATTGCTCTACAAACCTTGTATTCACAATCCCTACCCTGCCATCCATTTGCTACAATTTGTAACCCCTAACCTCGAGATAGCCGCGAGTAATCGGCCCCCGCTTTACTAACTTTAGTTTTAAGTAATTTTGTAATCTAAACAATGAATATCGGCTCCGCAGCAAATGAGCCTGGAAAAATAAACGCATTGTTAAAAAAAATGCAAAATATGAAAATTTTATGAAAATTCCAAGAGATCCTCTCAAGGGCATTTTGAGAAGCATTTGAAGGAAATTCTGAGAAAAAGTTTCATGGATTTCTGAAGTGAACTCCAAGGTAATTTTGGGATAATACTTTTCTAAATTCTGAATGGCATACCAAAAAATTTCCAGGAATATTTCAAGTGAATTGCAAAGACTATAATGAAGAGAAACTAAAACAAATTCTAGTAAATTTCAAGATTTTTTCTAGAGAGAATTCCGTGTTTTGCACAGACTTTTATGAAGAATAAGGGGTATTCCCGATAGCAGACATAATCATGAGATTATTGAGAGGAGTCCTGAAAGTAAAAGTAATTCTGATGACATTTTGAAATGATCCGTACTCAGAAATTCAAGATCCAGGATTAAAATAAATTGTCAATATTTAGTGTCTTCGATTGAGAACTAATTTCCATATTCTGGTATTAGACAAATGTTCAAGATTATAAGTGAAATATTTGAGCTATGGGACTTTGAATATTTATTAACAAAAATTAACTATGATAAAGTTCCAGTCACATTTCCGGTTGATTTCGATTCCCAATTAATTCACAGCTCCCGGTTTTCCCAGTTCAGTGACCAGCTTCAGCTGACAATTATGAAAGTGCTCAAAATGCCAGTTTGTACATAATATCCATCAATAAGGAGAAGAGGAACAACTAGTTTCTTGAAATCTTGGACCAGGTTAAGAATCCAAAACCCAATTCCGGCCCAACAGCTTTCAAAGATTGTCTGGTGGCCGACAAAATATACAAAAAATAAATAACACCCAATCCCCCATAACCGCTAAATCGGAATGAAAAAGATTCGGCAAAACATCCGAGCGAAATGGTCGCTATCACTCAAATGAACCAACCTAGCCAGCCACCGCGAATTCGCCGATCGGCTAAATTCTTATCACCTGCGAGCCGAGCCTGCTAGAACGACGACGAATTACTGTTTACCGTCGGGCCGAGTGGATGAATCGAGTGAATCCTTTGCAAATTCGCCCCACAACCGCGACTCGTCCGTATATAAATAATCCGACCACCGGCGAGTGTGTTTAGTCTGACCAAACCCCTAGCACCAGTTAAATATCAACAGGTAGGTTAACGAACGGTTAAGTGAATTCTACTGCTGCAGCAGCAACAACAACGACAACAAGTGGTACGCACAATCGACGGATTTAAATCGAAAGTGTCGAATTTTCTATAGACGGTGATTGATTGGTGAATTGAAACAGAGAAACCAAATCAAAGCGGTGCATAATCTGACTAGTGAGTTATGTAATCGAAGAAGTTGTATCGGAATGGTTTGTGGAATCGAAGAATGGACAAAGTTTGATTGAATTTAGAAACGGTTTATGAGAAGATTTGAATGGGGGAAAAAAATATATGACAATACAGCACACAAGTGGAAGTGTCTGAGGTGGAACACTTTGAAAATGACTCAGATTATTATCGTATGATATGGCTATAACAATGAGCTGGAAGTTGTTTGGACGGGAGCTATAAATAATTCAATTAGATAGAGGCCTTATCGGTCAATTGGTGTGTTATGTTCTAGAGCTAAGAGGCTAATGTGCACACTATCTCTTTTGCTGGCTAATTTGGATATTTGCTCGACTTTACTTTTCATGGAGTAGCATTGAGCTTGGTGTACAAAGTACTAATGCAAAAGAGGTGTACAGAGGCTTAGAATGCCCTCAATTAACAACTATGGAAGTGTTCAAAGAGTATACGTTGTAGTTAAATTCCAGTTGGGACGTAATACCCAAGACGAAGAAGGACCTTTCACTTGAAGCTACTTGATGTCTTCACTAAAGTTGGGTGTTTCTATTGTTTTAATAACATTCTAGAACATGTCAAACTCAAAAGGCAGAGGGTTCTCCTTAAAATAATTCTATCTTGCTAAAACTACAACTACGAATAATACAAATGATGTAGAAGCAAATTCATCTTCCTTATATTAGAATTAACTTATGGTTCAAATGAGTGAACCAACTTTGATAACTTTATTGCACATTAAGTAATTCAAATTCATAATTTTCAAGCACTTCCAGACAGTGAAGGTTGTCACATTTTAGTTCACTTTGCAAACAACCATGCGTCTCCATGGTAAACGTTATTCAAATGGAATTAGGCACACACGTGCGCACTAAATCTGATGAACCAAAGGAACATTATGGAATATAAATAAAGTTAATATTAAAGGTGGGTGGCTCAGTAGTGGAGCAACTAAGGCAATTTAATTTTGAAAAATATATAAACTATGTACATACAATTTTTTATACGTCATTCTATAGCTTTCAATCTCTATTTAGTTAGAAAATATTAATAATATTACAACGTCCTTCAATCATAGGAGCACTGATCCAGTAGTTGTGGTAGTTGCTAACTTTGCATCCTATAATAGTGGAACGCATTGGATTCCACTATTATAGAAATACTTCTGCAGGTGCAATGGAGTCAAAATCTTAAGGAAAATCAATTGTTTTCCGTCATTTTTGGGCTAATTTTGGGCTAGAAATATGCAAATCTACTTCATTTTAGAAGAGCTACCGATGAAAAATAATCTTATCCGGGTTTCCTTATTTATTCCGACACAACCCCTATATGCGATTCTGGGCATGTTGTTGATTAGGCAAAGCAAACCACCAATCACTCGTTGTTTTGAGAAACTCCGTACCAGAACACATACAGTCTAAATTTCGTATCTCATCGCACACCGTATTCAATCTTTACAGCGCATCGAGCCAGCACACAAACATGCCGGATTACAAGGTCTACTACTTCAACGTCAAGGCCCTGGGCGAGCCCCTGCGGTTCCTATTGTCCTACGGCAACCTGCCCTTCGACGATATCAGAATCACCCGTGAGGAATGGCCAGCACTGAAGCCAAGTGAGTCCCGTCCATTGGTAGCTTTCCGATTTACGTTGCGTGGCGTCCCCAATAACTACATTAGTGTTGTTTTTTTCTATGTTGTGTTTGCTGTTGTATTGCTCGATATCCTACCTACCACATAGTCATTTCATTGCTACGATACTTACTTATCTCTAACAAACTGATGAGTTGATAAGTTTTTGCTAACTCACCGGTACTCAGCAGATGTCAGCTCGTAAGCAAATAAAATTTTGCACATTTCATGTCTGAAATCAGTATCTAACGGTCATAATAGATAACGGTTTCAAATTTTACCCAGTACATTCCTTATTGCATAATCCAAAAATTGCTTGAGTGTAATTGCGTCGTGGTCGAGCCACTGAAATTCAATTTGAAGTTGATAACATTCATTCCCTAATCAATCAGCAACCAAGTATCAGCACAGTATTGTCTTTAGTAATTGGTAAACAACTTCCTACCGGCTAATTTTGTCTCGTATCGGTGCCTGCATGCTTTGCGTGTTCGATCGATTACTAAATGCAAGTTGACTTTGTAACGATGACACACGGTTGTATAACCTATAACCCGATGGATTATATCACAATGTCTGTTCATCGTCTAAAAATATGCAGCAAGGAAAACTATTATCTATTGAATCTAATTTTAATATTCGCTGGATTTCACGAAAAGTTATCTTTATTCATCACCCACCTACATACACACACCACGCTCACAGCACAAAACGGCAGCTTTCTCATCGCTTGATCATCCGTTATCGCCATCCAAAAGTCCTATGTATAAATATCACATCATTTAATTATCTGTTTGGTGGCAGCTTTCGGGGGAGGCTCTGGTGTTATCATGCTAGGCAACAGCAACGAACCCTCCTACGAATCGACCATAACCAAACCAAACAATTTGCTTTTCTTTTCTCTTTCTCTTTCCCGCTTGTACCTTTCAGCAATGCCCATGAGTCAGATGCCGGTGCTGTCGGTGGACGGCAAAAAGGTGCACCAGTCGGTGGCCATGTCCCGCTATCTGGCCAAGCAGGTCGGCCTGGCCGGTGCCGACGACTGGGAAAATCTCATGATCGACACCGTCGTCGACACCATCAACGATTTCCGTCTGAGTAAGAAGATTTGCATAGGCTCTTACGGTTGCAATGCCAACCGTATAGTGCCCTAGTCCAGGCGCATGCGAACGTTGCCCTTTGTCCATGTTCAAACAGAAGCGTTTATTTTTTGAAAACTGCGGTGACCTTTTGTTTTGTTTGTTAAACCATACTGCACCACTCCGCGTTTTCTGGGGTATAAAGCTCATCATCCACAATTAGCAGATCTGGTAATTTAACTCTATGTCTGCTTTTCTGAAGATAACACTAATGGCGGCAAGCTCCAATGAGGATTAACTTTTAATACCGTCCCTGTTTGGATGATGTGCAAAATGTTTGCTTAGAGTCGTGTTGATTATCTTTGGTGTTGACATCAAAGCAGCGAGACATGCTTGATCGGGATGTAATCCGAGGATTTTTTTTTTCTATTTCAGCTTCTTACATTTTGAGGTCGATTGTCTGCCGGAGGAAATGGGAAGTTGTTAAACAAGTATTAGGGTAAATGTGCCAGTTTTTGGCCCGATACAGTTAGAAATTATTACCGACTTCGGTAATTTCTTACCGAACTTTCAATAGCTGAACGTTCGGTAAAACTTTGACCCTCATTTCAAAAGATGATTTACTTAATTTTAATTTATAAAACGCTGTCAGCATTGTTTCAATAAACGAGTCTTGCCATTGCGGTGAAACTTTCCTTCTTTTGATGCTTTTAAACTAATTTATTAAAATGCATGATTCTTACCGAACAGTTCAGCTGTTGAAAGTTCGGTCAAAATAACCAATGTCGGTAAACATTTCTAATGCCGTTTTAGTTTGATGAACCAGTTTCGAATCTGGGTTAGTTTCTTCAAAATATCACTCTCGCGGTGAACTGGGTGAACTGAAATGTTGTGTACATGAAATGACTTGAAATAGAAAAGTCAAAAAGGCAATGACAGCTAGCTGCCAAGTGATTGCTCAACAGCAGTTTTCAGCTTAAACATGCACTGGGAATTCCCTTGTTCACTGCTGATTGTGACCGCTGCCATTTTATATTTTCCAAAAATTTATTTGAACACACGCAAATTACGAACTAATTTATGACCATGAAGGAGACGTAATCCAGTATAATTACATAGTACATATGATTGAGGAATATGGACAGTAAGTAGCAGAATCACTATTGAAATTGCATATTTCATCTTTGCTCAAAATTGTATGCAGTTTAACAAAGCCGCGTTTGTCTCGTACCACATTTAAAAATGGGTAAAACTTGTGGTGATTCGGGATATTCTTAGAACCATTTTCTGGCCACCCAGTAACAGAATCGGTCTGAGGATTGCATGTTATAGCTATGCTCAAGATTCTATGCAATTAATAAAAAAAAAAATCGTGTATTTCTAGGACGACTTTCAGTAATGGACAGTTTTCCCGGTGATTCTGGATATCTGGGGATCCTTTCTCCGACCACCCAGTAACAGAATCGGTATGAGGATTGCATATTTCATCTATGCTCAATGTTCTTTCAAGAAATGACCATACCCGGGGTTTTCCGGGAATCTTCAGACCATAAGTCTCTAACTGTTTTTCTCGATCCAACTGGCCAACTACAAGTCCAGTCGATTCCCTATCTGTTTCGCTGAAATATTTTTCAGTATTTTCAGACTGGCTGATTCTTTGTTGTTTACCTTTTTAACATTTCATCATAATAATTTCACCATTGAATGTATGCGTGAAACTGGTCATTCTTCAGGTTGCTTGGTGGCAAACCTAGGTTGGTAACTGGCGTTCAAACTATCAGTTCGACAGCTCTTAGGTTGCAACCCGGGTGAGGGTTCGCTTCAAACTAAAACGGCATAAGTGTGTAGTGGTTCCCTAATTGGCCTTATCTTAAGGCATTTCCTTCTAGAGTCGTTTTTCTTATCATTCTTCGCAGCTTCAAGAGTACAAATCTCAAGATTTACGAGGTTAATATGTAAATTTCAGACATTGCTTGCTTATCCGCAGCAAACAATAAGTGGTAGTTTCAGCTACGAGCATTCGCAAAAACCTCAATATTTTGACTTGTGGAATCACCTTAAATTTCAAGCTTATTCATTCTTCACCACATTTAATTTAATACAAGGCTCCGAGCAAGGCTAGAACATAGATTTTTTTCCTTATAGGGGAAAGTGGGGCAGTTTGGTCATCTTAAGAAAATCATCACTAATCATACAAAATTCAGTGGAAAATACGAATGATGTTTAGTCAAATGGATAGTTTCAAGCCCCTACAAATTGAATAATAAAAGTAAACTTTTGAATCTTATACAAGAGGGTTTAAAAAATGTTCGTTTTGTAACCGAAATTAAACCGTTGGAAAAATGCCTATTTAAGGTTATATTTTTTCAGTCTTGTGAATGACTGATTTTTTACCAAAGCAGCTGTTTCAAAACGTGATTTCATATGAAACAGTCATATCGAGACCAACGATTCAAAAGGCCTCAACTCCATTTTGTAAACAAACCTTGTAAGGCCATTTTCTCGCGATCCGAAACATCCATTCGCAAACCTAAAACACAATCGAGTAGAACAGAATGTCCCCTACCTGCTCATTTTGTTGGTTTGCGTTGGCGGATTTCGGTTCTCGACAAAATGGCCCTACAAGGTTTGTTTAAAAAATGGAGTTGAGGCCCTTTCAATTGTTGGTCTTGATATTTCCGTAGTGATTTGAGATTTGGGTGTAAACAGACACGTCAATCGCCAATTTCTCGTGAATTCTCTACCTAATAACACTATCATGTAGAGGATTTATTGCTCTGTTATTTGGTATAGTTTGTTAACGAGATTGAGCTTTTATTCGTGAGAAATCGGTGATTGACGCGTTTGTTTACAAAAGCAATTACGCCCAAATCTCAAATCACTCCGGATTTATGAAAGAAATAATGCAAACAACAGTTGAATCGACATTTGGTTCTGCTTTCAACCATGATTTCAACATTTCCTGCTCCGTAGTGACAACTTTAGGATGCTTACGTAGTTCGTGCTTCATTATAGGCCCAGTATCTTTCGATCGACCGCAACTCCGGTGTGTTTGGGGGGATTGAGATCCTTCGGCACGAAATTGACCCCATTCGTCTTGTACCACTCCACAACGTCCTTGGAGTAGGGAAAAGATGCTAGATCCGGCCAAAAAATTGTGGGAACGTTGTGTGATTTGAGAAACGGAAGCAATCATTTCTTCAGGCACTCATTCAAATAGACTTGGCCATTTACGGTTGTAGTTGTTACGAAAGGCTTGCTCCGTTTTCCGCACGAACAAATCGCCTGCCACATCATGATTTTTTTGGGAAGCTTCGACACTTGCTGTTTCCTGAGAGACTCTGAAACATCGAACTTGTCTTTCTCAGTAACATACTGGTTTCCCGGAATTTGTTTGAAGTTCGCTTTTACGTATGTTTCATTGTCCATGATACGCTAGTGTGGTTTTGTGAATCTGTGATCTTCAACGCAGTACGAAATACTTGTTCTTGCACTCACTTACTTCCAATCAACAGTTAAACCATAGAGGTAACTCTAAGACCAGAACGTCCCGAAGATACGAGCTCAACTTTTTGGCTCAGCTCTGGTACTATTTCGGTCCCAAGCTAATCGATGCACCCCTCGAAACATAGCAAAATCCACGAACCCCTCATTTTATCTGTCAAACTTTCATAGCGAATCAAAACAAACATAGTATAGTACTAGAATTTCAACTAGAATGGGGTACTTTAAACGATTTGCTTGGGACCAATAGGCTAGTCAAGTAGTGAGCCAATTTAAAATCGTTAGTTTCAAATTGACTGTTGGTTGAACGTTCTCCGAAACGTTTTATGACACGAAAAACAATAGATTGTTGGATTTCCAACATCTTTCCGATGGCTAGCAATTTCACAATGAAACTCACGCAGTGTAAATAATACACACTGAGGCCATCTCACTCAAAATTTCATTAAAATTAACCCAAAGAACAAAATGTTACAGCTTTTTTTTAAGTAATGACATTTAACTGTAGACACCCTTTAAATGCAATAGAATTGGAGTTTGAGGACCCGAACATAAATTTCATTGTTGTTTTGTATTGAGAAACTTTATTTCTTGTGTTTAGAAGTATTTTTATGGGCCTATCATTGTTGATCGATTCTCTTCATCGACATTCTCTTTGATTTACCACGGCTACATAAACGAATTTCTCGGTAAATTATTATTATTATCTCTATTTAGGAGATTTTCAGCCGCAGGCTGGTTCATCTCCGTTTTCTCGGTAAACTCGCAGCACAGTTCGACAGAAGATGATGTTAGCTTGCGCCTGTAACAATACACTCAATGGAAAATTCATTTGCAGTCGGGTTAATCGCGAAAGAGAAAATCGATGAAGATAATCGATCAACAATGATAGGCTCTCTTCTCGTGTTACGCGAGAAATGCTCTACAAAAGGGGTTTTGTTTCGCCGTTATTGTGAAAAGATTATGCTTGTAGCAAATTTTGTTTGGATTATATTTACCTACGCAACATTTAGACAGTGGATTGAGGTATGTCTAGATAGAGCTGGAATTAGGGCGAGGGGGCGTCACATCTAAATCGCAATTCTAGATGCTCGAAAAATCTCTCACTTGGGGACATTTAACAAACGAAGCGATCTTCACTAGGTTCGGGATAATCTTAAAATTAAGACAAACTTCAGGATTGTCTCGAAATTTGTCTAACGGTGAGACAATATTTAATTGTTTTCCGAGTCCATAACAAAATCTGGAAAATTTGGGAAGTTCGGGAAAAAAAATCATAGAAATCATTTTCCAATTGATACTGAATATTGTATATGAGTAAGAAATTGTTGAACAATTCTCAAAGTTTGAAAAAATATAGGAAATTATGCTAGCCTAAGAATTTCGGACTCAGAAAAATATTCAAGGCGTCGGACTTGGAAAAGTTTCTAACATCCCGTTCTTAAAGAAAAGTTTCTGGGACTTTAGGATTTTTTGTAGTGTCGTGGTAGGTACATACCTACGAACCCGAGCAACGCTGTTGAAATTAAACTTTGCTGCTATGATGTAACTTATTTTGAATACTCCAGTTAATCTCATTTTGGTTGACTTAACGGTTATCACAGCAAAAATGAGAGCAAATTTTTACACTGTTGAATCAAACGGAAAACTAATCTTGCTTTCAATTAAATCAATTGCATTACTGATTTTGTATTCATAAACTGAATACGGGCCTAGCGTAAATCGTTAGCATCCGTCCTTCTTATGCTGAAAGACTTGCGTTCAAATTTCACCCCAGACAAGTCACGAATGACCTAAAATGTGTAATACAAAACAAATCAACAGTAATTGTTAGTTCAACGACAGATGAACTTAAATTAAATTTTCAACAAGACGTTAACAGCATAACTTGAAGTTAAATTGCTTTCATTTGAAAAAAAAAAACAACGGAACTCCTTCTGGGATGAAACAACGAAACACCTTCTGGGATGAATAGAAATGACGTTTGAGACAATGTTGTAGTTCATGAAAATTTAGCAACGCTACAAACTGCCCTTGTATATGCAGATTGTACTGAATGAACTCTTTGAAAAGCTTTTCAATATTCGCAATCAGCGTGAAACAGGAAATGATATCCAAATCACAAAAAAAAAAATCAATCAGAACACGGACAAATGGCAACGAACGTGGACGCTAGTGATATCGTGCGATACTAAGCTTCCGTCCATTGTAGAAATCGCTGTTGTATCCTACGAACCCGAAGATGATGTGAAGGAGAAGAAACTGGTCACCCTGAACAGTGAGGTCATTCCATTCTACCTAGAAAAGCTGGACGACATCGCCCGTGAAAACGACGGCCACATGGCAAACTCCAAAGTAAATGCCACCAAAGACTCTTGCTCCGTCGTGGTCGAAAAAGAGTCACCGAACTTTCTCCACAGCTCAGCAATACTAATTCAAATTCTGTTTACAGCTTACATGGGCCGATCTGTACTTCGTCGCTATTCTGGACTACCTGAACTACATGACGAAGTCCGACCTCGTCGCCAATCATCCGAACTTGCAGAGACTTGTTGACAACGTTACGAGCATCGAATCGATCAAGAACTGGATCGCAAAACGACCCCAAACTGATATTTAAACGCCGACACTAACAGAACGATACGTACTTCAAACAAGTACACCCTACTAATACTTCTTCTACCACATTCAACAGAGACTACCACCACAACCCTACATAATCTAACGTCCTCTATAACGCTAGAGAGAAGCAAGTTCAATTCAATGCACTGAGCATCAATCACTTTCACACGCATCCACCAACTAGACAAGTGAATAAGCATTACACAACTTTTTTATAAGAAACGATAATAAAAAGAAACAATCTTAAAAATATGATTCAATAAACTCCACCAACACATTTTATCTGGCAAATCATAAGCAGAAGACATGTTTTCCTTGCTGCACCCCATCTGAAATGGAGGTCCACAATCGGTTTTTTTTTTTAAGATAACGTATCTTCTGTCGCTAAAAACGTGTCTGTTTATATTCTATAAGTATGTTTGTCTCCTGCTGATAACAAACAGCGCCTCCCAACCCGAAAATAACGTAAGTCTACCCGATCCGCCCATGGCAATAAGAAAGCTGCTTATCATCATTAACTACACTCCTATTACACCCAAAAGAAAAAACTCTTTTGATTCCATCCTACAAATCCGGAAAGCATCCTCAGACAATGCTGAATTTGAAGCAAATCCAGCTTGTATTAAAATTTAACAAGCATTTCTCTGCTTTTTTCTCGCTCTCCTTTCCCACCCGTTTCCATTGCAGCAATGCCCATGGGACAGATGCCGGTGCTGGAGGTCGACGGCAAGCGAGTCCACCAGTCGCTGGCCATGTGCCGCTACGTGGCCAAGCAGATCGGGCTGGCCGGTGCCGACGCGGTGGAGGAGCTCCAAGTTGATGCGATTGTTGATACGATTAACGATTTCCGTCTAAGTGAGTATAATTGTTAGAACAAGGTACAGGTGTACGGTCACGATTCAGATCAGGTGTAAATCAGGTGGCATATTCCTGTTGGTGGAGTCCCCTGGCAATGTTCACATACATTGTCATCCTTGCACATAAGGGTGGGTTAAGTTTGCAGGGCGGGATGATTTAAAGGCATTTGATTTTGATTTGGATTTGCGGCAGAATTTGAATGCTATAGGATGTGCCAAGCTTACGCACGGTTTGATACTGATTATAACAGTAACAATGTTGTTTAAGAAACTTTTTCCTATAAAATGGCGTATATTTCAATGTTTAGACTGACAACTCGTAGATAAATAAGTTGTCTTTCTTGAAAATCAATTCATATTATTTGAGGAAATCACTATTTTATGATTCTTTATTCAGTGTAGGATTTTTTTTAATGGGAGTTCAGACCATTTTCTACAATTCACCATTTGACCAAATCTTATCATTTTGGAGACAAATTTTTTTTTTTTTGTGAATATTGAAAATAAATTCAACTCTATTTCAAATGGTATTCTAGATTTTTTTTTCTTCTATAGGGAAACATTATTATCGTTATTATAAAGACTTTCAGCCAAAGGCTGGTTAGTCTATTTTGATTGAAAAGAGTGGCTCTAGATGGCCTCCTCCTAGTAAAAGAGTTTCAAAATGGGTGGGGGATTCGGAAGAGTTGAGTAAAGTTGAAACCCGTTGTTTGTTGATGTCGAGACTCTCTGCAATATAAAATTTCCATTGTGTAGATACAATTCGTAAAATCGTGATGTCCTCCGTTGTCAGTTGATGATCCTCGGTAAAAATGTGCTTTTTGGCCTTATTAACCTCCGCTATATGTTTTTTGAATCTAGATGCTAGTTTGTCCTACATATAGGGGAAATGGCTCTTATGTTGGCCTATGGATCTAAGATTGGGCCCATCGCTAAAAATCTGCTATTTATCAATTTTATCTAGATGAATGAGTCATTGGGACGGTACTAATGGATATTTTTGATTGATTCAATTCCCCTACCTACTTTTTACAGAGATTAAAGTTTATTTTATATACACCTACTTTACTTTAAACATGAGCTGGGTCTTTAGTTCATCATAACAATGATTTTAACTGATTGGGTCTACTAGTGAAAACTAAATCTAATCCGAATTTTTTCAACCATGGTTTTAGCTTACTAGTAATATTTTGATCAAATGGAATGGACACTCGTCTCAAAGATTCAGATGCTGCAGTGAAGGTTGTTAACAATCTCCTTTGTAGATTTTTTTGTTTTTTTTTTTATCGATGATTGCCTGGATTGTATTTAGTCTCCTTGTATCCGTCGAATCTCTCTGTTTCGAAGATGTACTGCAATTGCTTAACCTTTCCAGTATCACTGAATGGAAGAGTCTGCACCTGATAAATCATGTGATGAAATTCGTGAGTTAACTTTATATCCTTGTGAATTTTGTTGATCTCATCTAAAATTTGTGGAAGGGCTTTTCGTTTAACTACGCTGTAGACATCGTCGACAAACCTCCACCAACGGCTTGGTAATAGCAACCGGTGGAAACTAACGATTTAAAATTGGCTCACTATTTGACTACGCAAGTAGCATTGCAAGTTTTATCGTGGTTTTATAGCATTCTACAAGTCTAAATAATGGACTTCAGAATCCTCATAAAACCCAAATTGTTACATGGGTAGCCAATTGGTCCCAAGCATATTGATTAACGTACCCTATTCTAGGCGAAATTCTACTACACTATGTTTGTTTTGATTCGCTATGCAAGTTTGACAGATAAAACGAGGGGTTCGTGATTTTCCTATGTTTCGAGGGGTGCATCGATTAGCTTGGGACTGAAGAGAGTACCAGAGCTGAGCCAAAAAGTTGAGCACTTTTATTCGGGAGCTTCTGGTCTTAGAGTTACCTCTATGGTAATAGCATAGAGGTAACTCTAAGACCACTGGGTCCCGAAGAAAATCATTATTATTTTTGACTCACTCAGTACCAGAACAACGGTCCCAAGCAGTCCCAAGCTATTTCACTCACCCCTGCATGTTCTGCATGAATCCACACACCCCTGATGTTATCTGTCAAACTTTCATAGCGAATCAAAACAAACATAGTGTAGGAATAGAATTTCAACTAGAATAGGGTACGTTAATCGTTTGCTTGGGACCAATAGGCTACTAAAGTGGTGAGCCAATTTAAAATCGTTAGTTTCGTATTGATTGTTGGTATTAGGGCGTAACAGCCTTTGTAAACAATGACTTCTCTCGTTGATTTCTCAGAATTCAAGGCACGCCTGCACAAACCATCATATCCATCGGGTAGGAGAAGTCTTCCTCTACTCGATGGTGATGTTGATTTTTCAGGGAGAGCCATGACTTCCGAGAAATCATCAAGAGAAGTCATTGTTTACAAATGCTTTTACACCCCAATTCCAGCTCTATCTAGACTTATAGCAACAATCAATACGAAACTAACGACTTTAAATTGGCTCACTACTTGACTAGCCTATTGGTCCCAAGCAAACGATTAACGTACCCCATTCTAGTCTAAATTCTAGTCCTACGCAATGTTTGTTTTGATTCGCTATGAAAGTTTGACAGATGAAATGAGGGGTTATTGGTTTTTCCTATGTTTCGAGGGGTGAATCGATTAGCTTGGGACCAAAGAGAGTACCAGAGCTGAGCCAAAAAGTTGAGCACGTTATTTCGAGACCTTCTAGTCTTAGAGTTACCTCTATGCTTTAACCGTGTAAAAATAACCGTGTAAAAAAACCGCGTAAAAAAACCGTGTAAAAAAGACTTCAGTGTATTTATTTATTTTACAGTGAACCAGGAATTCATGAAAACCGTGGAAAAGGCGCGAATTCGAAATCGCCGGTAAAAAATCGGGAAAATCCCGTGAATTTCGATGACAAACCGGGAAAAATAAGATTCTGGACCTTTAAACAATTGCATGACCCCTGGACTGGCAAATGTTTTCAGGATGCAGTCACTTTCAAGAACTAAATATTATGAGAATTTTGAAAATATTTTAGGATGAATTCTGCAGATAACAACAATGTTTTTAGATAAAATACCAATAGATCTTTTCAAGAACTCTAAGACAGATTTCACTAGAACTCCCATTCATTTGTGGGACTTCAGACGTTCAGAGAATAATCTTTAGGTAGTTCTTTTGGAAAATTCATGACGATTGTGAAGCGGATTCCAGGTCCATTTCTTTTTTTTTTATTGGGTATCAAGCTGGAGCTGCGTGACAGCTTAGTTTTCAAGACTTGACCCATTTGAATAAATGTTGCTTCTATCTTTGACAATACAGCAGAAGGGCTAGCCTATGTTGGCCGGTTGAACACTGGATTCCGTTTGTATTGTTTCAAGATAGTTATAGAAAAAATGCTGTGACGTGTGCGCGTAGATACATCCGCGTAGTAAACCGATTGAATAAGTAAATCCGTTTCGAACGAAATATCTAAATTATGTAAGTTACGAAAACCGCGCGAATTCCGAAAGCCGACACAATATGAATTATGTTGCGACAATTGAAATCAAAATCAGTTTTCATAATGATAGGAACTGCAAACTTCAATATCGACTTGCTTTTGTTAACCGACTTTACTCGGGAAGGGAATCGAATTTGGAGAGAGCAATTCCAAAGGAATTCTAAGATGAGTTTTATGAGAATTCCGAGTTTAATTCCAAGAGCATCTCGAGCAGAATTTCAAGGGTATTCTGAGGAGAATTCCAAGTAAATTTTCAGAAGAATTTATTGGAGAGCTCCAAGATAATTGTGAGAAGAATTGTATGAAAATTCTGAGGAGAAATGCATGAAAATTATAAGGAATGTTCAGACTAATTCTAAATAGAATGCAAGGAGTACGTAAAGAAGTTTTAGTAAGTTCCGGGAAAACTCCGAGAAATTACAAATCGGGATTTGCTGGTCACCATTATTATGGGTAATGCAAATTTGATTTTTGTTTTATGTAACCCAAAATTTGAAAATTTAGCTCTTTTTAAAATCGTTTTCCACTCTACGCTTTATCCTTAAAGTAAACAAAATATTTTTTTTTATTAATAATTTATGAATTTATCATTAAATTAGTTACTCATACGTAAATTTATTTCTTCTTTGTTATTTAATATTTGCCTCTCCTCGACCTATTTGAGTGACGTCGGACATAAAATGAAAATATTATTTGCATCATCTTTATGCCTTATTAGACAATCAAATAATAATAACAAGATAAATGTTGACAATTTTTAGACAATCTATTTTAAAGACCTCGGATATAGAAACTTTTGAAACACCTCAAATCTCATTATTCTGGAACGAGGAAAATTTTCCAAGATGGAAAGATCGTGAATTCACCGGCAAATTAATCTGACTCATATTTGAGTCAAGTTCACAAAAATTCGCAAAAACGTAGATCACAAGAATGAGTAAATTTTTACACAAAGATGCTGGGACTTAAGCATTCGAAATCTCTAAGACAAACAAGTTAAGCTCGGAATAATTTTCATATGTTGAATATATGGAATGTAAGTTCATAGTCCTTGAAAAATTTAAATACTTCTGAAACGTTAATAACATTTTATGATCTTGGCCATAGGTTTGTAAAAAGTGACTTGCTACCAGCCCTGTAATTAATGAGTGTTAAATTGGTCGTTTTACTCTACACCATCTAGATTCCCTTTCACAGACTTCATAATAGAGTACCTAACACCGGGAAAATGACTAGTAGCCTTACTTATAACCTTGAATTGGGTTTTCATGACCCGCCTTTAGAAAATGAGCACTAATCATGCTAGGCAGCCAAAATGACCGAAATAAAAATCAAGTACCCATCATTCTAAACTGAACATTGGACAATTGTTTACCTATGATTATCTTAAACAAATGAAAGTAAATTAATTTAAATGGGTGTCTTTGTAGCACATGCAATGATAGAAGAGCAATAGTTTACATCGATCAACTCGATTTCTTTACATTTGTTACTTAGGATCTGTTGAAAAAGTACTAGAGAACTGGTTTTTGTTATGTAAACATAACCAGTGTCATTGAAACCAAGCGATATTTACATTCCAGATTGGGTACGGTGAGAGCGAAGTCGAAAGCGAAATATGAGATTGACAAATTCTAAAAAAAATCACAATACTGTTCTCCAAAATATGTGTCTTAAATTATGGTCATGAAAATCATTGACACGTAACTTTCGTTGGTTTTTTCAAAGCGATATCTTCATTGGACATTCATCGAAATTTAAGGGATTTCACCAATGGCGATTACATGCAGGTTTGCTTTAGTGCATACGAAATTCAACCGAGGGCGCTAAGATTATGATTTATGCTAATGTATTCACACTTATTTAAAATAGTTCCAGTGCATCAAAATTGATTAAATTTTGGATTTCGGGTCAATTTTTAATGCAGATTATGAATATGCATTTACCTCACTACCCATGAACAACCCAATTGAGTTCTTGAGGCATGGAGGTAATTGCATATTTATAATCTGCATTACAAATTTTGGAGAACTGAAACTTATTTAGTTGCAATGAAAGAACTTTCAATACATGCAAATCAGCGAAAAATATGGCAATTTTGTAGAAATAATATGTCGAACAAATTGCAAGTTCAACTTCTATTCTATTGAATTTCAGGATTTGACAGATTGCGATTACTTTGCCTGATGGAATAAACTGACTTGTTGTTTTCACATTTTACTTGATCAAAGTCTTTAGTTTTAACACATAATTTGAAAGTAGATGCCAATGGATACATATATACTATATTATAATACACTACACTACACTATACTATACTATACTATACTATACTATACTATATGTACTATAGTAGATAGCGTCGAAAAATTTACGAAAATCCACATGGGACTGATTTGCGATTAAAGGCAGTACAGTATTGTATAGTCTATTCTTATGTTATTACGCAGAGTTATTATAATGCTCCAATATGGGTTATCCTTGATTTAACAATAAACAGCGATAAAATAGAACGCCACTGCAATCACTAATGGTGAATCGTGCAGCGGTGCTCCTTTATCTTTCGCTTAAATTAAGCCTTCATCCTGGTTCAAACTATTTCTTTCCTCCCGGATGTCATCGAAACTAATCCAACTTCCAAACTACCATCCACAGAGATTGCCATCGTTGCCTACGAACCGGACGACATGGTAAAGGAAAAGAAGATGATCACCCTCACCAACGAGGTGATTCCATTCTACCTGACCAAGCTGAACGTGATCGCCAAGGAAAACAATGGCCACCTGGTGCTGGGCAAACCGACCTGGGCCGATGTGTACTTTGCCGGTATCCTGGACTATCTGAACTACCTCACGAAGACCGATCTGCTCACCAACTTCCCCAACCTGCAGGAAGTCGTGAATAAGGTGGTTGAACACGAAAACGTCAAGGCGTACATTGCCAAGAGACCAGTGACTGAAGTCTAAGAGGGAGAAACCCGAAAACGCCAACTCTTCACAGCATGGAATTGAAAGCAAACTATAAACTCTACGCCCAGCAAACATGATGCCGTGATGTAGTCACACAGCGAATATGGTCATAATGCTAAGGTTTAACGCTACGCTAATATTTGTGCTGTTTTAGTTTAGGATAAGTCGCGCGAAAGAATCAAACTTGTTTTGGGAAGGAATTGTATCTATTCCTGCTGAATGGTGGCATCTTTTATAAAACCGTATTTCACTAATTGAACATTGTACATCTCCACAGTAAGAGAATATCTAGAATCTAGTCCGTAGTTCGTACGTTTAAAGTGTAAAGAAATATTTTAAGTTGTCATAAGAGGGTCGAGAAAATACATTGTGTGTACGTCCAAATCGATATTATGGTACAAGTGGTTTCAATTTGAATGCCGAAAAACTACAGTCCAAATGTATCAGGGACTTCGGATGAATAAATGGGTTACTAATATTTCCAAACATCATGTAAACGTATAAAATGCAGTAACAATTTTCAAAAATAAATGCACAAATTCTCACCGTTTTACTCACTGGTGCTTCCACACTGGCTTACGCTTTTCCACAAAGCTGCGAATGCCTTCCTGGCCATCCACCGTCGACAGATTGTCAGTCATGACTTGTTCTCCCTTCCTGTAGGCATTGTTCACGTCCATTGCTATTTGTTCGTAGAAGAATTGCTTCCCCAATGCAATGACAGCTCGACTTTTCGACTTTATTGCATTGCAAATGGTGTCAATTTCCTGATCCAACTGATCGGATGGAACAACTTTACTAACAAGCCCAGATTCCAGAGCTTCCTGAGCACTGATAGGAAGCCCGGTAAAAAGCATATAGGATGCCTTCATACGTGGAACAGCTCTAGCCACGGCAATTCCCGGGGTAGAGCAGAAAATCCCAAAGTTCGCTCCAGGAGTAGAAAAACAACTCTTATCACTACAGACGACCATATCGCAAGACGCGACAAGCTGACACCCGGCAGCCGCTGCCAAGCCATCAACTCTGGCGATCACCGGCACTGGAGCCCCCAAAATAACACCAATCAGTTCAGAACACTTAGCAAACACTTGTTTATGGAAGTCGGATCCCCTCTCAACGGTTAGCTCCTTCAAATTATGGCCAGCCGAGAAAACATGCCCCTTGGCGGAGAGTACAAAACAACGCACGGTCTGATTGTGTTGATTGGTAATGATGTGCTGCTGGATACTGTCCATCATGTCAATCGACAACGAGTTACGGGTTTTTTCATTGTCCAGCAGGATGTGACCGACTCCATCCCGTTCGGTGAAGGTGCTCAGCCAACGGAAGGCACCGAGTGCTGGAAGCTGAAATTACGTAAACGTTTTCATGGGAATACTAGTTGCGTAATAAAATATGCTATACTTTATTGGAATGCAGTGAACTAGCTGTTCTAAGCATTTTTTTTATGTTTAAGAACTTAGTTGGAGAAACAAGATAAATTTTAAAATAAAGTTATCAAAAATACAATGCTCAACTCGAGAACAGCTGACAAAGGAACACAACAAACGAAGCGAGATTTTAAAAATATAGAGATGTGAGCCGATTAACAAATTAACAAAAAATAAACAAATTGACCTACACAGTAGAACGAATGCTAATTTCATAGGCCAAAGCTCGAACCAAAATGTAGAACGAGTTCTTATAAATAAATGGTATACCAATAAAATCATTGAGAATCAGGAACAAAACAAATCTAATAATGTTGATTAAAAGACCCCATACAAAGAAAATCTAAAAATAGCTAAGACTAACAAAAAAGGTTATTTTTTTTTTAAATGAATTCCATCTCAAATATCGAAAACAAATTTGAAGCTTCAAGATGTTGCTGACGAGAGACATTTTTGATCTACCAGATTTGACGAAATGACAGAAGCCACTTTGCCTAAAATAATTTGGTGGTACATATTGATGCTGCTTCTCACAACTCTTAATATAAGGTAACTATCTAGGGGCAAGCAAGCTATTATCAGAGTGAATATTTTTGCACCGCAAGGGGTAATCAAACACATCGTGGCACACTGATCGGCGCGTCATGGCACACGATGACAAGTATGACACAAAGTATAAAATAAAATGGCATCACTGTTTTGTGTTGACATTTTGCCAATCGTTGCTAAGGTTTACTTCAAAGTAAGGGTAAAAGGATTTTTTGTTAGTGCCATTTTCCAGCGAAATTGTCCCCAATTATAATAAGAGATTGTTTAATTGGGATGAACCTCTACATAAAGTCCACACAACGGCGCCGGTGGTGTAGTGGTAAGCGTGATGACCTCTCACCCCAGCAGGGCTGGGTTCAATCCCAGTCGGCGCAGCCGGGATGTTCTGAGGCATAACATCTCTAATCACGCCTTCCTTCGGATGGGAAGTAAAGCCGTTGGTCTCCGGTTCATGAGTTGATGGGTCGATAGGTAGGGTCCAGGTGTGGGAGCTGCCTTCCTGGCACGTCGGTAGCATTGGTGCTCAGCACGGAAAACAAGATCGACGGAAAAAACAAACCGAAGAAAAAAAAAATAAAGTCCACACGGCTTTTTAGAGATGTCCATAGTTTCAGGGAAGTCCAAACGAACTAGTGAGAGTCACAACGCCCCGCAGAATAGGCCAGAATTAACTAAGTATTAACTCGATAGCCATAGAATCAAGACCGAGAGTCAATTGAATGGGTAAGGAGCATTGCAGCGATAATGTGCGGTGTCAACAACACCCCGGTACCGAACGGTCCTACCATTTTTCAGATGTATCTGCAATCGCCGCTGATTCTCCCGCATAACACCCCGGTACGATTGATGGTTCACCAATCGGTCAGCCGTACAGTTTGTTCGGATTCGATTGACTGTGAAGGTCTCTCTACGCTCTTTCGCAACTGTTCGTATCACCGACGGCAACAGCAACATTAAGAAAGATGCTGCTAACAGAATTGTGGAGGTAAACACACCGGAGATAACAGTGCCAATCTGAATCGCGGAATTAATGAACGAAATTGGAACCGGCAGCAGTTTCAGGGAGATTAATATGCGATTCCGACATGACCATGGATAAAAAATATACCAAACAGATACAAGGAGGAGGTAATCATCAAACAACTGAAACCAGTATCGAGATTCTGGACCGACATTTGGATACACCATCGACGAAGTAGTTTGACCCCCCTCCTCCCTCCATAAAGCGGAGGGGGGAGTCAGACGAATTTACCACCTAACCACGACTGCTGACACTTGGAAGCTACTGCAGGTCTATTGCTGCTACTACTACCGCCGGTGGGCATTTTATGTCGAGTCTTTCTTATCTTTCAGATTGTACCATTGCCCGAGTAGCATGACGATATTGCAGACAAGATTCTTGTTCCACTTGCCAGTTGGGTTCTTGGTTTTGACAAACGTCTGCCAGAATGGCGCACGGTAGAGAACTGCCTTCTCCTGAATGAACAGCTTCTGCCATCAGTCACCCTTCTCCTTCCCGCGGAAAGGCTTATCTTCGAGTGCCACTTCTTCCTTGAATCGGATGACCGGCAACCAGCTCGTTGAATATTATCACGACTTTTTTCCGTCCTTGACTTGAAAATGTAAACACACAATATCAAAAGTCATAAGTGCATGGTTGCCAAACTCATGGGCTACTGAGCTTGATTGCCACACTTCGGCACGTTCAGCACAACGCTTGACCTGCTTTCGGCAAAGATTTGGATGTACAGAGTTGAATACCCCTTGTTGCACCGAGTACCTTAATAAAAAATAACCATAAACGAACGATAACCCAAATCATTGAACTATTCCACAAATGGTTTGGATGATACCCAGAACACGTCGTTAAGCAAATTAACCATACAATTTTTATTAGGGTAAATTTGAGCAACTCATAATTACTCAAACATGATCAAAGTACTTTAACGACCTTACCTTTATTAACAAACTAAATACAGTGTGAATAAATATTATGTGACAGAATGATTATTTCGGTATTGTTTTATTATATTCATTTATTAAATCAATTGGATTCATTGCATCATGAATTATCCTGATAAGGGTAATCTAAGAACTATGCTATAGAGGTAGAACAGGTAGAAAATGCCATATCCAGAGAAGGACTGACATGAAAAACAGATCTGTAACACCCAGCAAGACGTGCTTTATGAGAGATTGCCAAGCGTGTTCGGCAGATCAGAGGTTCTACAATAGATCACATCATTCGAACAGGTAAAATGGCGTTTCCTACCACTCAAACTTTGGCGTGGAATAGTGCTTTGATTTTTTCTTCTTCTAGAACTTTAAAAAAATAGAGGCTTATTTATGGTTGTAGGAGCTCAGTCATAGCCTAGTCAGTAAAGGCACGGTATTACCAAGCCGGAGGCGGCGGGTTCGATTCCCGGTCCAGTCGAGGGAATCTTTCGGGTTGGAAATTTTCTCGACTTCCCTGGGCATAGAGTATCATCATAGAGGTAACTCTAAGACTAGAAGGTCCCGAAATAACGTGCTCAACTTTTTGGCTCAGCTCTGGTACTCTCTTCGGTCCCAAGCTAATCGATTCACTCCTCGAAACATAGGAAAAACCAATAACCCCTCATTTTATCTGTCAAACTTTCATAGCGAATCAAAACAAACATTTCGTAGTACTAGAATTTCGACTAGAATGGGGTACGTTAATCGTTTGCTTGGGACCAATAGGCTAGTCAAGTAGTGAGCCAATTTAAAATCGTTAGTTTCGTATTGATTGTTGGTATCATTGTGCTTGCCACACAATATACAAATTCATGCATTGGTATTGGCATCGAAAGCTCTCAATTAATAACTGTGGAAGTGCATTTAGAACACTAAGTTGAGAGCACGCAATAAGCTAATATGCGCTAAGCAATAAGCTTGAAATGCGAACAAGAAGAAGAAAGAAGAAGAAGGAGCTCAGTCAAAGTGGACCAAAGAGTCCAAACCAACTGTTGAAATGAGTGGAAGAAATGAACTGATGAACACAATAAAGATGCCAAACTGTGCACCTATATAGAGCGTATGAAATAAACAGTTGATGCAACAACTGATTGAAGCAAGGATTGAAGTTTATACTCGACACCGACATGTACATGTACAGTCACTCCAGTATTATGGGCCAGCTAATCAGTATCATGGGTCAGTCAGTTCTGTGTGTTAATCAAATGGAAGTGGCCGATAATTGTGGGTGACCCATAATACTGGGATGACTGTACTAGCTAGCATGGAGGTAAGTCTAAGACTAGCATGTCCCGAAGAAACGTGCTCAACTTTTTGGCTCAGCTCTGGTACTATCTTCGGTCCTAAGCTAATCGATGCACCCCTCGAAACAGGAAATTCCATTAACCCCTCATTTTATCTGTCAAACTTTCATAGCGAATCAAAACAAACATTGTGTGCTACTAGAATTTTGACTAGAATTGGGTACGTTAATCGTTTGCTTGGGACCAATAGGCTAGTCAAGTAGTGAGCCAATTTAAAATCGTTAGTTTCCACCGGTTGTTACAACTCTGTAGTCTGAACAAGTCATTAGAGACATTTAAGCCGACATTAAGGATACGTACCCTATATACTAAAACCTAACAGTTTATAGATTTTATACCCAAAGGGTGGGATTTTGACCACAATGAACACACATCATTGCACTGTGAATTTGGACTACACGATGACGTCATCGATTGTGCATCACACAGCGGCTGACAGCTGATTGTAGTATGTCAAAAAGTCACAATCTGTCAGGCCGGAAGCGAAACGTCAACTGCGCGAACTTTCTCTCCGCGATTCGTCCCGTGTTGAGTGCACAACCAGCGAGTAGTGAGTTTTCCGAGGAACTTTTTAGTCATTCGCGGCGGCATCAAGAGCTTAGTGGTCGAGTGTAGTTTGTGGTGCGAGAGTTATCGAACGGTTGCTAGCAAAATGGCGTCAATACTGCGAAAATCTAGCCTGGTTCTGGCCGATCTGGCTGCCAAATCATCACCCCGGGTAAGTCTCGATCACGCAGGGACACGTGAGTGCTTTAAGGCTAACCTGTGTGCAAGGTCGCACGCGATCTATAAAAAGCGAAAGGCTCTATAAATCAATTTGACTTTGTAAAAGATTCCGTCGCACAATCCAGCATTTATGTAACACCTTTCAGCCAGTCAGAGTAAAGGTTTCGCTCTCGCTGTGCCACGGCACAGCTGCTTCTCTGTTGGCTCTCTTCTAAAATTAAATTTGTGACACATTCTCAACAGAAGTAGCAAAATAACAACGAAGTTACAAAACTCGGTGGCTGCTGGTCGAGTCGTAAACAAAACAAATCAGCTGTCCATGTCTAGGTAGTATTTTTTCTCAATTGGGCTCACAGCTGATAACCCGTAGACTGTTGGACCAAACTAGTGAACAACATAATCGCAATGTTTACATTTTTAAAACTAGTCGCTGTATTTTGATCACACAGAGGATCAGGTTAGTGACGTCAGCCCGGTTGGGGAGAATCATGTGCACGTTGGAAATTCGCGAACGATACCAGTTAAATGAGTCATCTCATATTTTGCGTGCTTTTGTGAAACCGGTTATCGCTAATGCTGGGAATGTATTCCTTTCATTGCAGGTTTTGGGAAGTGCTGGTCAGAGACGCCACCTAAATGTACAGGAGCATGTGTCGTACACCTTCCTGAATGAGGCCGGCATTCCAACGCCCAAGTAAGTATAATCATGTTTTCTCTATTGGTAATAAACATTTTCGTCGGAAGCGTCGCGGTTATCGTTGTGTTGTGAACTGCTGTGGTGTTCAAGTGCATCGTTATCTGGTGTCTAGATTAACGGGTTCAATCTTCTCGTTGGCGCTATCGGTAAAAGACATGACGCAATTTTGACACAAGACCATATGACACCTTTCACGCGACCAGATTGAACTTGCGATTTGATATTAATTTGTGTTACGATCTGTGTGTTGGCAGGTTGGTGTTATATATTTCTGTCCTTATCTTAGTACAGCGTATTTCTTTTCGCTTGTCAGCATCAGTCAATTCGGATTGCGAATCAATAACCGGTAGTGACGTACGTATGTTATGGATTTCCTATGCATATTTCAAGGGACAAAAAAATACAGAATAGATAATTAGAGAAAAAAAGCTCTGTGAGCAATGATCCTAAGCAAAATCTTGAGAATACTACAAAGAATTCTGAGTGAATTATCAATATAGTTAGAACATAAACAAATTTTGAACATTTCGAACGCAGAGCCTGAGTGCATGTCAGTCTCCTGTTCGGACTATTAGTTTTTTTTTTTTTAATCCTGATAATTTAGAAACTAGGTGTTTTCTGCAAATAGCTCAGGTGACTAAGACCTTCCAGCTGGGGTACCGATTAGCGCAGAATTCTCGCACTACGTGGAACTAGTGACGCTACCTGATCAACCAACAGCCAAAATTCCAGACAATATAATTGAAATTCGAAAAACGTACTTGTAACAGCTCTTTGAACTTTTTTTTTCAAAGAAACCTATCCTTTGAGCTTGGAGATTACATTAAACCCTTTGATATTGACAAACAAATTAATAAATTACTAGCTGACCAGGATTGTTAATCGATAACCGTAGATAACGGCAGTGTTAACGTCTGCTGGATTATCGATTAACAACCCTCTGTAGCTAACCCATGTTGCCCAGTGACCTATCTTACGCCACCTTGTCCTACTACAAAATACTGCTGTTTTCGAGTTGCTGATAATAAAACAGCTTTCTGACATGCAGATTAAAAATGAAAAGGCTGCCGAAGAGCAACAAACTGCCTGCGAGATTTAGAGCGTTGTAAAAATGTTTTACAACAGTGTTTAACTATTCCATCGATTGGAATGGCTGGAGCAGCTGGCAGCAAGCAAATGGAATACTAACAAACACATGGAATCGGGAAAACCGGGAAAAAGTAGGGAATTTGAATCCGTGAATTTCAATGACAAATCGGGAAAAAATATGTATTCTTGTCAGTCTAAGCAGCGTCTGCGCTTTTATTAGAACAATTCTCGCTGAAATCAGTCCTTTTTTTTGCACGAGGTTCTTAAAAATATTTTTTTTTTTGCACTCATTCAGAAGTTCTAGTTATGAAATAGGAAAAATCGATCGGTAAAGGTCAAATTGATGAACCCCTCGGTAACTAGGGGCTCTAACAATTTAACAAGAATGCTAAATTTTTGCGTATTCTTGATGCATTAAAATAATTATAACTTTGAAAATTTTCAAGAAAATCCCTAAGATTCACACACCATAATAAAGGCAACCGGTGGAAACTAACGATTTTAAAATGGCTCACTACTTGACTAGCCTTGGTCCCAAGCAAATCGATTAACGTACGTCTAGTCGAAATTCTAGTACTACACTACGTTTGTTTTGATTTTCTATGAAAGTTTGACAGATAAAATGAGGGGTTCGTGGATGTTCCTATGTTTCTAGGAGTGCATCGATTAGCTTGGGACTGAAGAGAGTACCAGAGCTGAGCAAAAAAGTTGAGCACCTTTCTTCTGGACCTTCTGGTCTTAGAGTTACCTCTATGATAAAGGTGCCGAAGTCAACATTTACCCTATTTTAATGAATCAAGATTAACCAAAAATTGAGCATTTTTGAATAATGCTTGAGCTCCTGATTACCGAGGGGTCCATCAATTCGACTTTCTTTTCTTTTTTTCCTTGATATTTTTTTCGTCGATCTTGTTTTTCGTACTGAGTACCAATTCTACCGTCGTCAGGGAGGCAGCTCCTACATCTGAACCCTACCTATCGACTCATGAACTTATGGACCGGGGACCAACGACTTTACTTTCCTTCCGAAGGATCAGAGATTTTATGCCTCAGAAAATCCCGGCGGTGCCGACTGGGATTGTATCCAGGCCTTTTGGGGTTAGAGGCAATCACGCGAGAATTGCTCATTGGCATTTTCTCAACGTCACGCACACATGTGACTTATTTGTTACATTTATTTGCTACTTGCTGCCAGGCATGGAAAATCATTTGCATTAATTTCGTGCATTCATTTACATTCATTTGCCTCTAACTTTATTCTTGAACAGCATTTCGCAAATTGATGTATACAGCTTTTGTAGACTTTGTTAATAGCTACAACTTTTGTTAACAAGTCAAATTCGTATCTCTTATGCACGACGAACCAGACCGAACAGAAGTCACTACTGTTTTTCAGTGAATGTATTTTACATTCACTGAAAAACAGTAACAAGTTCTGCCCGCTCTAGTTCGTGATTCATAAGAGATACAGATTTTAATTATAAGCAAAAGTTGTAGCTCATAACAAAACCTACCAAAATTTCATACATCATTTTGCGGAATGCTGTTGATGAAAAAAGTTAGAGGCAAATGAATGTAAATGAATGTATGAAATGAATGCAAATGATTTTCCATGCCTGCTTGCTGCTTTATCAATTGGAATTGCCAATCGACAAAATTGTCCAAAATGGTTTGAAAACAATTTTACAACGCTCAAAACTTCTCAGGTGAGTGTGACTATTGTCGGCAACCTCTTTTTCTTCAACAAACTTTTCATTTAAACTGCGTGTGAATCAACTGTTCTATTATCAACAGTCTTGAAATCAGTTGCATTTTAACTGGCATAGCAGCTTTGCCCAGTCGTAAAAATGTTATCAGATTGAAGCTGAAAGACTTTGAAATCGGTCACCGTAGAACCAGTTCTAGATACTCCGGATCATGGTTCCACATGGTCAACTTTGATATCTCTCAGAACCATGTCAAGCGACATATGAAATCACATCTACTTGACGAAATATGATTAATGGCATTAAATCGCCTACATTTGTCCTCTGCACCTTTATAACAACACTGTCCAACAAATCGACATCGAGCCATATGACCACCTTAGAATCTGTTCCGGATATTCTCGATCATGGTTCCGTATGCCTAAATTGTAAATCTTTGATAACAATATCAAGCGAAATATCAAATCTCTATTCGACCAAATATGACAAACGGCTCTCAAAACATAAAGCAGTATGGCCACCGTATAACCAGTTCCGGATGTTCTGAATTATGGCTCCACATGGTCAGATTTGACATCTGTCATAACCATATCAAGCGACACATCAAATCACATTTTCGACGAAATATGACCAACGACTCTAAAAACGAAAACCATATGGCCACTGTAAAATCGGTTCCGGATATCCCGAATTATGGTTTCGTTATCGTTCGGAATCATATCAAGTGACATATCAAATCACGTCTACTCGGCGAAATATGACCAATGGCACTCACTCAAACAACATCCATAGCTCCATACATCAACCGTAAAACAGATTTCAGATATTCAGGAATATGGTAAATTTGTTATTTATCTTAACCATATCAAGCGACATATCAAATCATATCTACTCAACAAAATATGACCAATAGCTATAATAATAAACAACAGAGCCTTATGTCCACCGTAGAACCGGTTCTGGATATCCCTAATTATGGTTTAACATGGTCAAATTCGTTATCTATAATTGCCATATCACATCACAACTACTCAACGAAATATGGCCAATGGCACTCAAAACAACAATCATAGAGCCATATGGGCACCTAAAAGCCGGTATAAGATGTTCCGAATATATACTGAATACGCCAGATCTGATGTCGATATCAACAGAATTTCAGAAACATAAAGACTGTGCTCGAAAAAAATACAACAAACAAAGGCTAAATGCCCGCTCCTTGAACTTAACGCTACCCATCAATCCTTGCGCCATCTTTCTTACACACTTTCATCCACTCTTTCTTTAAATCCTTGTCGTTTTTGAAGACCTTCCCTGTTTTCCGGAGCTTGCCCTTCATAATCGCCCAGAATTGTTCCAATGGGGCGAAGTTCTGGCGAGTTTGGCGGATTTGCCTCCTTCGGCACAAAAACGACATCGTTTTCTTCGTACCACTCCATCACCGGTTTCGCGTAAGGGCACGATGCCAGATCCGGCCAAAACAGAGTGGGACCGGAAATAATGACAGCCGACGCTTCTGGAGGCATTCTTCTTTATATATTTTGCCATTGATGGTGCAGGTCGTTATGTACGGCTTGCTGAATTTGCCGCACCCACACTAAGTACTTCTTGGCAAATTTGTCGACTTGCTTCTTCCGGAACATTCAGGCGGGACTTGCCGACGAAAAATTCCAGGCTGGGGATCTGCGTGGCGTCCGCTTTAAAGTACGTCTCGCCTTCCAATACGATACATTTCGGATGCATCAACCACTCGCGATACAGCTTCCTGGGACGGGATTTGACCACAGTATTCTGTTTATCGGTTCGGTTAGTCGCCTTCCTTACCTTAAGACATGAAGTCCGGCCCGGTTCATTATCTGCTGGACGAACCAGATGGAAAAATTGACCTAGGCCACGTCCCGAATCGAAAGGTTCGAATTAACCACTTCATTCGAGCAGTTAAAATGACGTTTACTACCACTTGAACTTTGAAATAAAACATTATTTTGAGATTTTTTCTTCTAGAACCACGAGAAAAATAGCCAACATTTGTGCGTTTCATAACAAAATAGTAATTAGTTGGTCCAGTTTTGTGAAATAGCTGGTAGAAAGTCATGCCAAAACTGCTTGACAAAGTGGTCAATTGCGCTTGAAGTAATCTCTCACCTTCCTTGCGTTCACGGGGTCGGTCGTCTTCGCTTTTCTTCCGCTGCCAGTTCGCTG